AGTGAAGAAGCCTAATGGTGGAAGCTTGTCGGCACAGAGCATTGCTGCTAGGCAGAGGAGGAGGAAAATCACCGAGAAAACTCAGGAGCTTGGGAAACTTATTCCTGGTGGCCAGAAAATGAACACTGCTGAAATGTTCCAAGCTGCGTACAAATACATCAACTACTTGCAGGCCCAAGTCGGTATTCTCGAATTTATGGGATCAAAGCAGGTAATTTGGTTTCTATCTAGTGTCCCATTTCTTCTCATCTTCCAAATAAAGTACTCGAATTAGAAGTATAAAAGACATATTTTAGCTTCCTTTTCCTCATGAGTTTTGTCTCAAATATACTGTATTAAGCATGCTATTAGTGTTCAGTTGAGTTTTTAATGATGGAAATTTGCTGAAATATGGTAATCTTAGTAATTTGAAGGTATACATGATTTTCACCGGGAAGAAAATGGCTTACGGAATTCCAAATTTTATTTGCAGGAAACATTTTCTTGTGAAGAATTGCATGATCTTCTTGAATCGCCATTAATCCAGGAAAAGTTATACTCGACAGATAAATGCTTGGTTCCGCAAAAGTTTGTACAAGCCCTAGCAAATGATCATGAAATTCAGCCAAAACTTCAGGTTCTGAAAGAACTTAAGCAGCTGATATGAATTGGTGGCTACTAAGAAGTGCTTTTTTGTTTTCTGCCATTGTTGTTTGCTTACTTTTTGAGCATCACATGAATCTTTCTTTTTATTTTTCATTTTGTTGTATTTTTTGGTTCAGTCAGGTGTCATTTTTTATTTTTATTTTTTCAATTCCTTTTCTTGTAAATTCCTCCTTTGCAGAAGAAGAAGTATTATTTTGTTTAGACATGATGATGTTTTTAACCTTCAATTTTAATGATGTTTGGTAAACACAGGTTAACTGTAAATGGGAAATTACGCTAAGATACTATTGCTTTTTGGGTATATAACTGTAAATAGCGGTTTTTAGACTTGGTTTGATCAAGTCAAAGTGGTTAAAAAATAAAGCATAGTTTTAGCCATTTCAGTTTTCTTCTATAAATTGATTGTTTCGTGTCAAATTCAATATATCAAATATATGAAAATACTATAAGCCAACTAGTTGTAACATTGAATAAAATCGGTATTTATAAGCCAAGCATGCTAAAAAAAATAAAAAATAAAAAATAAAAATTTGTAAAATTATTAAATATATAATATTTAAATAATTAATAATTAGTTTGTTATTCTATTTTTCTTTACAAATAGAAACAGTACTTAATAATTCGTTTTTTATATTTGAATTTGAATTAACATAAAGCCTTGAGTATTACATTC